GGTGGCTCTGTGCCGTGCCAGGTGCAGGGTCTGCTAGCTGGGTGCTGGCAGGCTTGCACCTGGCACGGGCACCGTAGCCAGCCCGTGCCCCTTTAAGGGGTCCGGGGCCGGGAGGGGGGCATAGAGTTTCCCTGGTGTTGGCCAGAGTGGCCACCAGGGAAACCTGGGGAGGGCTAGCCTCCCACTAGTTTGAATTAAGGGTCTACACAGCCCTTAATTCGAACTAGCTAGTTCGAACTAGGCTTAATCCTCGTAAAATGAGGTTTACCTAGTTCGAACTAAGCGCTCCGCTGGTTCGAATTAAATTCAAACTAGCGGAGCGCTAGTGTAGCGCCTATTAAAGTTAGTTCGAACTAACATCCGTTAGTTCGAACTAACTTTGTAGTGTAGACATACCCTCTGATACTTAATTCCTCAACTATTTAGGCAATTTGAAAAATTGCATAAGGTATAATGTACATTTTTAGGTCTAAATGCCTGAAAAATTGGCTCCAGGTGTATAACAGGGGTTACAGAGGCATGTTTCATCATAAAAAAGAGCACAGCCAGACACCCTGATAAGGGTGTGATGGTTGGATCACAGAAATCCCCTTGAGACTGTCATGTGATGGGCTGATCATACCACTGAGCCTGCCTACCTGCCCTATGGGTGCCCCACCACCTTGTCCTGTTGTGTGATGCTCTGGTCTCCCCCAGCAAAGGCACAGACTAGGGGTAACAGCCTGCCCCAGGAGAGCAACGCAGACACTGTTAATAGCTCAGCTCTGGGAGGGCTTAGTTACAGGAACTTGTCAGCACTGAGAAGCACAGCCCCAAATACGATAAAACCCCAAAATGAGTCCATCTTATTCTGTATAAAAGTTTTACACGGAGAAAAATCAGAGTTTGCTCTCTTTATTAATGAAAGAGAACTATGGAGTCCCCCTCCATAACTACCAGAGGGGGACTATACATTATGCTAAACAGCCAGAACATTTTTTTCTGGCTATGACATTGATGAGTTGAATAAAGAATTAATCTCTTTGAAATAGCTCAGGTGAAACTGCTGGGGCAAAAAGAACATAGCAGCATGATGTCAATAAAAAATTGCCATGGAGAACTTTTTGCTTGCTTCTCTATTTCCAAAACAACAAATCTGATATTAGTGCATTAATGTTGGTAGAGGACGAAAATAAAAAGAATATTGTCCTCCAAGAAAGCCAAGAAGGATTCTAACCCCATCAAAACCAAGATCTAAGGAGAAACATACAAAAAGTTTGTATTCTATTTATGATTCTGACTGGAGCCTTTCAAAGCACGGGAACAACCCAGATTCTTAATGAAATCTCATAATTCCCTCACAAGCTTTATAACTGCAATCCTACCAAATTCACAGTCCATTTTGATCAACTTCACAACTACAGGATTTTTAAAATGATCAATTTAATGGACAGGATTGACACCCTTACCGCTGCACTGCCATCAGAGCTGGGCTTCTGACCAGCAGCCACAGAACTTCCTTGCAGCCAATGGAAGCTCCTATAGGTGAATCTGCCCCAGCCCCAGGAATAGCCACTGAAGAAAAATATGAATACCTTTCCCTCCCCAGCCAGCCAGGACTAGCAGCTGGCACTCACTCTCCCCTACAACTGCCCAAATTCACAGGCAGATCAGATGTCATGGTCTGTGATGTATTTTTCATGGCTTTGAATTTGGAAGGGCCCTATTTATAGAAAGTCACACCCTTTTCCTTTAAGTGTTGTCAAAGTTGATTTCCAGAGGAGAATGGGTTCCAGGGCTGATAAAGGTAATTCTGTTGATTCCACTCATTAGTAGTTCTAATTTCTTTCCTTACTTTACATACATATTCATGACCTACAATAATACAGGCTTTAGCATTTCAGGCCATACGTTGACATTTAAAACAGATTTTTTTTAAAAAAAAATCTTCAATTATGTGTAAGTTCATGTTTCATTATGAATATTTTACTCAGGTCTACATCATATCCAATTCACAAAGCCTCTACCTCCTCATTATTCAGTTTGGATAGGTCTACATTGCATTCCTCTTTTCAGGGAGGAAGGCAAATGCAGATGAGCGAAATTGCAAATGAAGCGCGGATTTGAATTTCCAGTGCTGCCTTTGCATGATCACATTATGGCACTATTTCTAAATGGCGCTATTTCAAAAAAGAAACGCAGTCTAGATGCGGTTATTTTGAAAGAAAACCCTTCTTTCAAAATAACCCTTACTCCTCTAAGGATTATTTCGAAAGAAGGGTTTTCTTTTGAAATAACCACATTTAGACTGCGTTTCTTTTTTCAAAATAACGCCATTTCAAAATAGTGTCATAACGCGATAATGCAAATGAAGCACGGGAAATTCAAATCCGCGCTTCATTTGCAATTTCATTCGTCTGTTTTTCTTTCCTCCCTCCAAGAAGGAATGCAGTGTAGACATACCCTTTAAGCTCATGCTCTTCAGCATTCCCACTGCCATGTTGTTTTTGAAAAACATTATTTGGAATTAACTGTGGCAAAATTTCAGTACGTTCAGAGAATAAACCAATATAAGAATTCATTCAGAGTAACCCTGCACAATAAGGATTGCCCTCTAAGGAGGGCACAGTTTCATATTTCATGACAGATAATTCAGCGGAAATTATGAACCCTCAGAATCTCTCAAGAGGCAATTATCAAGACAGAAGCCTCCATCATTCTAGTCTTTGTTTTTCTAAATGTACTTGAGAATATGTGTAGCCCTCAGAACTCAGTGATCCAGGAAAGCTTCATTAGTTCACTAGCTGATTAACTGAGCCCATAATTCAGAGCTCCAATCATCTCACCAATATCATAAATGTCTATGGCCAATGAACAAATTTCAATGTGGCTATGCACTGTCACCAAGTTGTATATAAGCAAGAAATGCAAATAATATTAAGCTCTATTATCTTGTCACCCTGCAGGAAATAGAATTAATTAATATAATTTTATTGTCTTAGTATCTGTTGTGAATAATTATTTCCAAATATACACAGTACATTTACTGTGAATAACACACACTCTGCTGTGGACTCTTGAGGACATAATTTTTCAATATTTATCTAGATGAATAATAAAAACCCTTCTGGTACCTTAAAGACTAACAGATTTATGTGGGCATTCGCTTTTGTGGGCAAAAGGTCTTTGCACACAAAAGCTCATGTCCAGATAAATCTGTAAGTCTTTAAGATGCCACAGGACTCCTCGTTTTTGCAGATACAGACTAACACAGAGACCCCTCTGATAAAAACCCTTTTGTTAATGATAAATGTTAAGTTTCCCCCTAAAGATCATAAGATTTTACCTCATCAAATACTTTAGAAACAACATGTTTGTCTAAAACCGGGATGTATTTTGTGCTGTGAGGAATAGCTGTGGGAGCTAAGGCATCCATTATGGTAAGTCGTCTAGCCACCAAACCATGAGTCTTTAACCAATGAGCTGAAGATGTATCTAGAGAACTAAAAATAAGAGATTGTGAGACGTAATATCAGACAGAAACATATTTGGTAATATAGCAGTTACTGAAAATAAAGAAATATAAACCACCATCACTTCTGTGACACGCATGTACATACTCTTTAGATGTTCTTTTTGCCATCTTTTGTGTATTCAGCTCTGTGGAAAAATATTGGCAAACTTACAAAGGCATCAGGTAATAGCTTTTCACAAACATATACAATACATTGTAATTAGCAACAGCTCTATCTGAATCTATTGGAAGTGCTCCTAAGGACGTTTAATCATGTTTATTAAGCTACTAAATTTATTCATGAGAATGAATCTTTCTTGGATTTCAATTGTTGCTCTTGATCATTATTAACAGAGTTCTCACCCAGGCTTCACAAGAACTAATAAACATAAAAGAAGATAGCACTAATGCTGTATCTACACTGTACTCTTTACAACAGCACAACTAGGCTGCTGCAGCCAAGATATTATAAGATGTGCTGTATGGCTGCTTTTACTTTCAGCAACAAAATAAAACCACCTCCAAATGGGACAGTAGCTTCATTGACCAGCACTTTTGAAGAATACTTTAATTGAAGATTGCTGAAGGCACATCTCAATCGTGAATTTTCCTGAAGAGGGTGCATATTTAAGAACTGCTAATTGTTAAAAAAAAATATGTGAGTATTGTATTTTAGTTTAATGAGATTTTTATACAGATTAACCTTAATTTAGTAATCCTGGCTATCCTGCCATTGACACTGCTATGTTCTATAACAGAGGTGGGGAACCTTTTTTGGGTCGGAGCCACTGAGCAACAGAAAATCAGTCAGACTGGGACAGTGGGGGCTAGAGTGGCAGCATGGACTAGCCAGTGCTGGGGAGGAAGGAGCCCTAATCTCGGGGGACAGATTTCAGCAAGCCGGGGACTGCATCTGGCCCCTAAACCTTAGATTCCCCACCCCTGTTCTATGGCCTGATTTGAGGAACAAGCTTGGTGAATCTTTCTTCTTGAGTTATAGGTTATAAATTTAATGAAAATTAAAATAATTTTGAAGTGATAAAATTGGTCTTTTTCTATACTGGCCCTTTTGTTGCTTAAACTTTTGTTGCCTCGGAGTGTGAAAAAGCCCCTGCCTGAACAACAAAATTGTATCAACAACCCTACCTTCATGGAAAATGACCCTACCAAAGAGACTAGTGATAAATAATGTACAAAGATCTTGAGGGACTCCACCCTGAAAAACAACAACAACAACAACAACAACAATCCTGCAAACTAAAATCAACCTCATGGAAGGGGGAAAAATAAGATCAGATATTTTGAACATTACTCCATAGGATACCATCACAATATAGTGTTAGTGAATGCATTGTAGCAGAGCTCCATATGCAATCAGAAGCCAATTGTTAGTGAGAATCCCTTTTTACTTCCGTTTAAAAACTTATCAACAATTGATCTCTGTCTCAAATGCTATACTACCAGATCTAAACATATTATAATAATTAACATGAATCCCCCCAGTTGTGATAACTTGCCTTTATAAATAGTATCAAATTTCAAACTATTTCTGGGCAAAAACCCCTTTCTTTCAGGAGATATCCTCTCATCTGGTCTTTCTTCACAGGACCTCATTTGCTGACCCAGGATCCTCAGCAGACTAGTCTTCGTTTGCTCTGCAGTTATTCAGACAGAGATAAAAAGACAACTAATATACAAATCAAATGGCTTCCTGCAATTCATGAAAACATAACATTTATTTGGTTTTCATTCCATGTTCTTAAAAATGAGCTGTCTTATACAAGCCCTCACAGGTAATAACAGTATGTAAGCACTAACTGGTTCTCTGTACTTTCTCAAAATTTATTTTAAAAAAAATTCTGTAACTAATAGCATACATGTGAGCTCTTCACAGCACCTAAAACCAAAGATTCACTTACTGTATTTGCATTAAAGAGGGAGAGATTAATCTCTACTATTTACTTAACTGCTTACATTGTATTTTTCAAATTTAAATCAAACTAGCTTAAATTAGGAATTCCCTTACAGCATGTGAAAGCCAACCAACACAGCACTGTGCCAAAAAGTGCAAATAACTGGACACTGACTAGTCTAACGTAAATTTCCAAGATTAACAAAATGAGGGAAGATAAATTAGAGTTTTAAGATAATTTATTGAATAATAGCCACACTTCAATTTAGATAGTTACCTGCATACAGAGCTGTCTTTCTTCTGACTGGACTGTCACAGTGAGTTTGCCATACATCTACTGTACGCTGGTGTGAAGTCAGTAATGGCTCTTCTGAGGCACAGTGTGACCTAATGGTAGGAGAAGTGTTTGGCTCCTGAATGTGTGTGGTTACAGAGGATGCCGTAAGAGTCTGCTTATGCTGCCTGTTTATGAGTGATAAAGACAAAAACCAAGCAAATAAATAACCTTCAAGAGTAAAAATGCATTTGTAAGGAACTGCTTTTCAAACATTAAGTTTAAATGTATGCAACATTTAAATATGGATTTCCAATACTCTGTAACATTACAAAATGATTGACATTATTTTACTACAGTCTTGATTTCATAAACAGGTTAACAATTTTAGTTTTACTAAGGTTCATGTAAAAAAAACCTCTGAAAACATGTAAATAGTCTATGCTTTACTGAGGCCAGAATATGCCTTGAATTCTCAAGAGAGGAAGGGGGAAGAGTGAGCCACCTTACAAATAGATTTCAAATGTGCTTATTGATTGGTGCTGAATGGTATTTTAGGAGGGAAACTGAACAGAGACGACAAGGATCAAAATGGAATGAATGTACACACGTGTTATGTGGGATCATAAACTGAAGGGACAAACTGTTTTTTTCCAAGTAAGCAATCTCTGCAGGAGACAGAAGAATGCTCAGATTATCTGAACTGGTTTATATTACAGCTGTCACATTGGCTCATACCCATTTGTTCCAATTCCCCACATCTCTTTTTTTCCCAGACTTGTTTTCATAAAGCTTATAACAATAGTATTTTAATTAATGATTTTTCAACATTTCTTTACAAAAGGAAAATGTGTTAAGGAGAATGTCAGAATTGTAAAAGGAATAGAAGACAAGAAATTTAACAGTATTCTGAGTAACTTATAGAGCACTACAAGGGATAAAGGCAATGTGAGTACATACTTATTTTCACAATCTTTTTCTCCATTATTCCAATCCATCTTCAGGCATTCAGTATGAAAGCCCTGCACTTTCTCAAGATCTCTTTCCCCTTGTTCAATTTCTTTTTTTAAAAGATATATATCTTCACTCTGCCAAAATGAAAATTAAATGTGTTATTATAATTACACTTAACAGAAACAATCCAATAAATAAGTTTGGGTGTAGATTCACACAGAAAAAAGGAATGGCATTTTGGATTATTTGGATTTTTTTTTCTTTCAAAAGTTTCCTTCATTTCTAAAACAAAGTTTTCTTTGGTCCTTCACCATACATAGATTGCCCATTAGCATAAAATTAAGAGAGAGGAAAATGATGACGGCATGTTGCCACACAGAAATATCTTTTAGCAAAGGAGAAGCATTTTACTTAAATAAAGAGTTGTATCAGAATTAAACAGGTCAGGAAAACACATACAGCATCTACAAGGTAACAAAAAGGTCCAAGAAATAGTAGAAAATTTGTACTTCATTGACTCAGGTCGTACCCATCTTGACACTTTTCACCTGCATCTCAGCATTGGGTTCATGTGTGATATTTCTGAAATGCTCCAAGTACCATAATTTATAAAGGGCCTGTGATATATGGAAGGAGTGCTACCCTTTTCTAAACATTCCAGCATTCAGTAACCAAGGGTACGTCTAGACTACATGCCTCTGGCGACAGAGGCATGTAGATTAGGGTACCGGACATAGTAAAATGAAGTGGCGATTATTTAAATCGCCACTTCATTTAAATTTACATGGCTGCCACGCTGAGCCGACAAACAGCTGATCAGCTGTTTGTCGGCTCAGCGTGGCAGCCATGTAAATTTAAATGAAGCGGCGATTATTTAAATCGCTGCTTCATTTTACTATGTCCGGTACCCTAATCTACATGCCTCTGTCGCCAGAGGCATGTAGTCTAGACGTACCCTAAAAGGGTAAACCTAGAAAGCGTTGGCAGCAGGCCAGGAAAACCAATGAGACGAAAGAGTTGAGATTTGAATTGAAAGGAAATCTGCCTGCTGTTCTCTCTTTTGTGGGAGTTTAAACCAGGAGCTGGGGGGAAAAGATTAATCGAACCAAGCAGGGATACCATGACTAGAAAAGCGGCGAGGAGTCCTGTGGCACCTTATAGACTATCTGAAGTGTAGGAGCATAAGCTTTCGTGGGCAAAGACCCACTTCGTCAGAGCTTATGCTCCTACACTTCAGTTAGTCTATAAGGTGCCACAGGACTCCTCGCCGCTTTTGCAGATTCAGACTAACACGGCTACCCCCTGATACATGACTAGAAAAGGAATCTCTACCTAGAATTGTACTGGAACTTGAAAATACAGATATGTGAGTAGATAGGGAATGTTTAATTAGATGCGATCAGATTATTTTCTTTGTTTTGTTGTTTGGTTAAACTGCTCTGTACTGAGTCGATGTACTTCCCCCCCACTTACACTGCAACTAAAGCTGAATGTCAGAGAAGAAATTCTCTGTGCTTTAATCTGTTTTCCTAAGTTGCTCTATAACACCTAGCATCCAAGTATGCTTTACCAAGTATATCTTTTTACTTTGTTAATAAAATCACCTTTTTAAGACTATGAACTGATTCTTATGTCCTGGAAAGTAATAGGAGGTCTGTGTATACATGCCTAAACTGAGAGGTGAACTATAAGAGATTAAAGTTTGTTTTCTTTTTTTTCCCCCAAGCTCTTTTGTGGTAAAAGAGTGTAGGGTACCCCTCTGGAAGAAGTTCCCAAGTGACTCTTCCTGGGTTTAAGAAAAAAGGGGTTTTCTTCATGTAGGTAGTGTCAGCCTACCTCCCAAAATCAGGTAATCTGCAATCTTGGGATATTTTTAAGCAGAAGCCAATAGAGTCAAGGTATTTTTAAGGTCCGTTGCTGACCTCTTCCTTCTGCACTCTTGACAGGGCCTAATTACACAATGTGTTGTAATAATCTCACTTGTGCAAATGTGTGGACACTGGATGTAAAACATTACCAGTGCAAAATGGTAGCATTTTATACTGACATACAGCTAACTAAAATCATTCCAGACCAACAATAATGCAAAAAGTTCTGGACTAGAGAGGTTCAACCTGTACAGTAAAATAATAAATAGAACCAGGAGTTTTCTTCAACTTTAAAGCCAGGAATATAAGTACATAAACTACAAGGGTATGTCTACACTTGCACCCTCTTTCAGGAGAGGGATGCAAATGAAGACATTCGAAATCGCAAATGAAGCCAGGATTTAAATATCCCGCGCTTCATTTGCATATTCACGTTATGGCGCTATTTTGAAATAGCGCTATTTTGAAATAGATGCTGTTAAGATGTGGTTATTTTGAGAGAAAACCCTTCTCTCAAAATAACTGGTAAACCTCATTGTATGAGGAATAAGGGTTATTTCAAGAGAAGGGTTTTCTCTCGAAATAACCGCGTCTTAACAGCATCTGTTATTTTGAAATAGCGCTATTTTGAAATAACGCCATAATGCAAATATGCAAAAGAAGCGCAGGATATTTAAATCCCGGCTTCATTTGCAATTTTGAATGTCTTCATTTGCATCCCTCTCTTGAAAGAGGGTGCAAGTGTCTACACTGGCGGCTTCTTGTGCAAGAACATCCACACTGCTATGTGTGAGCTGTGCTTTTGCACAAGAGCTCCCATGGCAGCGTGGTCTCTCTCTTGTGCAAGAAAGCTCTGATGGCCATTTTAGCCATAGGCCTTTCTTGCGCAAGAAATCCCTGCTGAGCGTCCACACTGCCCTCTTGTGCAAGAGCTCCTGCACAAGAGGGCTTACACCTGATAAAAAAGAGCATAACTCTTGCGCAAGGAGCCCTCTCTTACCTCGCCGTACTGTAAATTTCCTTGCACAAGAGTGGGCGGGCAGTGTGGACACTCTGCAGATTCATGCACAAGAACATCCGTATTTGCGCAAGAAGCTATGAGTGTAGACATAGCCCATGAGATTAACATGAAACCAAACTAATACTCTCCACACCCAAAAAATCTCACCCATCTTTATCATGTCCCTGCCTTTCCAAACTTGTGATAAAGAAGTAGATCCCAAAGCATGCCTGGAAGGTGAACAGATTTTAGACCAAAGATGGGATGGAGAGTGAATTCTGAAGATGGCTCTAGTACTGCCCTATTAATGTATGAGCACAGATTATACAAGCTTCATCCTTTCCACCTTTACAGTACCTACTAGATTCACATAAACCACAGTGACTGAGCTGTAAGGGCATCTAATACATCCTATGGAATATTTTATATTGCATTATTTCTAGTCTTGCTTCTCTGAATTACTGTCTGTGATGTACAAAATTTCATACTACTCTTGTTCCTAATTATGCACGTTTTTATTCCATTTTTCCTTGCATTTAGAGAAGTAATTAATTGGTTGATTTTTTTAAAACTATAATTATTTCTGAAAGTCCATGAAGAAATTTACTACTGGGGATTTTTAGTCTGAGCTTGTTAGTTACACTTGGTAGGCCAGTGCTGTTTTTGTAAATGTACTGGTTACGGATCTAGTTTTATTTCCACCCCGCAGTGATAAATGTGTGTCAAAGGTGTGAAACTCTCTTTAGCTATAGATATTTGTATTAATTAACAAGACATTTACTGTTGGGGTAAAAATCATAGATCAATTTCAGTTCAGGAGTAAGCATAACTCCCATCTGAGACACCAGGAATCACACCAGCTTTTTCCAGAGCAGAATTTACCTCCATAAGTATTTAAATGACCAATAATCATATAAATATGTATATTAAATGATAGTTGCAATTTAGATTTAATAAAATTCTAGCACTATGCAATGGCAGGTCTGGTGCTTCAAGATCACTTTAGCTTGACCGTGATTAGATTATTAGCCTCTTTTTTAAGGATGCGTCTACTACACTGCACACAATATTCTGGAAAAACAATACTAGTGTCCACACAGCCATTGCGTTATTTCGAAAGAAAATCTAAATAACGGACAGCTTTTTCTGATGTTAGTAAACCTTATTCCATGAGGAATAATGCCTCTTCTGAAAAAGCTTTTTCGGAAGAACGTGGTGGGCGTGAATGCTCTGCTGCTGCTATGTTGAAATAGCTTCTCACCAGGGCTATTCCAAGTTATTCCTCCCCAGTGCCTCCAGGGGCTCTAAATCGAGATAGCGTGTCCACATTAGGGGAGCCTGCCTCGGACTAATTTTGAGGCTTCCCTGTAGTGTGGGCACTCTATTTCAAAATAAGCTATTCCAGAAGATACCTTCCGGAATAGCTTTTTCTGAAATAACCTGTAGTGTAGACATACTCTAAACCACATACTTATCAAGTTGCATATATTCAAGCTCTGTTGCCCCTTACACTCCATAAAGATTAATATTCCAAAATTCAGCTTGAAATACTTACCACAGTAGGTTCTGGAGCATCAGGATCTGTCATGTAAATATTATAGTAATGAAATCGTCCCCCTGTTTCAGTTGACAGTTCATTCAAAAATTTATTAGCCTCTGTATCATCACAGTTGAAAGATATGGTATGAATAGGAATTTTTTGATGAAGTAGGATTTGGGCCAGAATTGTTTTTGGTGGCTGAAAAAGAAAAACAACAAGAAAAAGAAAAGAGAAAGAAAGTAAAAGAAAATAGTGTTAAATATGCTGCAGATAAACAACTATTAAATAAAACACTGCACAGAATTCCATTAGCTATTGCACTACTTGTAGCACCAATCCCTTCTGTAAAAGGCACAAAAAAATATTTGAACATTTTCCTCGATATCTAAGAGTATCCCGGTTTATAACACTACCTAAAGCACTGATTTATCATGTGAGATTAAGCAACTCACTTCAGGTATCATTCAACACATCTTTTAATTTAAGTAACACCTAAACTTTCCTGGATGCCAGATGTTACAACAGAGTTGAATTTTTCTTGGTACAGTAAATGAATTTTTAAAATGCCCTAATCAGCATATGGACCAGTTTTCGCACTGTACTATAACTTAACATTTCAATTTTGTCAAATTTAGCACCTGTAGCTGAACAAGAATTGCTTTCCTTTCAGTTTTGTTTGCTGCATTATACCTTCTCAAACCTCAAGCCATTTTTTGCTAAAACAACACAACTTCATCTGCTATAAACATACTGGCACGTTTTAAAAATCTCATTTCCACTTATATAAATCAAGAGTGTAAAGCTATTCCAGAACAGGGTGGGCAAAATATGGTCCATGGGCTGGATCCAGCCTTTTTCACATTTCTATCTGCCTGTCTCTCACAGAAGAGATTCAGCGGGGTGGCATGTGATTCACAGGGCTCATACAGCTAGCAGCAGTGCTTAGGTGCCTCGTCCCCTACATTGCTCCATCCTGCAGCTGCTCCCAGGACCCTCCTGCTAGTTGTGCAGACTGGAAAGGAGAGAATGGAAAGGAAGAGCTGATGTCAGTGTGTTCCCTCTGCTTATACCTCATCTTCACAGAGCAGGGATCAGAGAAACGGCATGGAGGAAGACTCGGAGCAGCTGTGATCTGAGGTCTACTCTGTGGTGAGTGCCTTTCTTTAAGAGGCAGTGCACTGTTTCTGAGATTTCTCCAGCAGACAGCTCACAAAGTCTCTTTTTCTCTGTCTGTCTCTCACACACATACAGGCTGTGTCCCCACCCCACCCCACCCCAAAAGCGTCATGTATCCCATCTCTGCCGGGCTCAGGAACAGAGCACGAGAGCTTTCAGTAAGAGTCTAAGGGTATGTCTAAACTACCCCCTAGTTCGAACTAGGGGGGGTAATGTAGTCATACGGAGTTGCAAATGAAGCCCGGGATTTGAATTTCCCAGGCTTCATTTGCATGAAGCCTGCCGGCGCCATTTTTAAATGCCGGCTAGTTCGGACTCCGTGCCGCGCGGCTACACGCGGCACGGACTAGCTAGTTCGGATTAGGCTTCCTATCCGAACTAGCTGTACGCCTCATGGAACACCTCATGGAACGAGGTGTACAGCTAGCTCGGATTAGGAAGCCTAATCCGAACTAGCTAGTCCGTGCCGCATGTAGCCGCGCGGCACGGAGTCCAAACTAGCCGGCATTTAAAAATGGCGCCAGCTGGCTTCATGCAAATGAAGCCTGGGAAATTCAAATCCCGGGCTTCATTTGCAACTCCGTATGACTACATTACCCCCGCTAGTTCGAACTAGGTAGTGTAGACATACCCTCAGTGATCATTTATGGTGTCTCTCAGAAACATATCCAGCAGCAGCCAATGCACAATCTCTGTGTCACACACTGTGCCTCACACACAGAATCGCTATGTCACACACTGTACCACATACGATCTCACACACTGTCACACATGCTCACCCAATCTGTCTCTCAAACATGGTAGGCTTGTGTACACTGGCAAGTTTTGTTGCCAAAAACCCCTTTTGGTGACAAAACCCAGAGAGCATTCACATTGTAACGCAACAAGTCATGAAAAATACCAGGTTTCAGCAACAAAAAACTTCTACCTCCGTGAAATTATGCAGTGTGTACTACAGGAGGCTTTTTTAAAGTATATTGAACTCCAGGATACTACCCACAATGCCCAATTAGCTGCTCTGGCCTGCACTTTGAACTCTGCTGCTTTACAGCCATGTAAAAGAAATGTGCCCCTCCTCCTTGCAAGCCCAGAGAACTTTAAAATCCATTTTCTGCTGGCTGGTTCCTTGTGGAATGCTCCTTATGGCATCTTCTCAGGGACCCAGGGGTAGCGATTACTCAAGACGCTCTCCTGCTTGGAGCTTAGTTTGTGGGGTGAAGAATCGGCGCAATCACAATTGTGAGTGACTCATAGGAACTGGGGGACACATGGTCACATTTCTTGAGCCCCTACGTGAGTAGAGTATGACCAAGATACTCTGCAATGCGGAACCAAGCCAAGATAAATGAACTCCAGCAACTGTACCATAAACTGAAGGAGGCACTGCTGGTCTGGTGCCACACCCAAGACATGCTGCTTTTATAAAGAACTGGATGTAATTCTGGGTGGGGACCCCACATCCACATGCAAGGACTCTGTGGATACTTCCCATGACACAGAGTCAGCAGAAACAGGACTTAATCCAGAGGAAGAAGCTCTTCATGAAGAGGTAGAGGCAGACAAGGATGAGGGGCTCACCCAGGAGTTACCCCATGCAGAAGGCAACAAGGAACAGATCTCAAATCCTGAGGCCCATATTGATTCTCAGCAACAGCTGGACATGGAGCATGACACAAGGCAAGGGAAGCAGGGTAAGTTACCCTATTGCAGTGGGGAAGGCGGATGCAAGGGTTGACCAGTGGCTTTGTTTTTGTGAGCTGGCTAAGTCCGGCCTGGCTCAGCATTATGTCCAAGCAGGGCTTTGATGCACAAAGAGATATCAATAGAATCTTGTAGGAAGATGGCGTTGAAGCTTTTCCTGGTGTACTTTATTAATTTTCTCATGGAGATTCCATGGCAGGGCTGCAGTTTCCCCCTTTCCTCCCAGGTTACAATATTCTTCCAAACCATTCCTCACTTTGTGCTGCCGGTACCAAGGTGGCACAGAATTGAACTGCATAAAGAGTGGGATGCCCCCCCCGCTCCCATCCACAAGCAGGATATGCAAATTCCCGCAGAGCTTTCGAAAGTGAAAGTAGTCGGGACGTGGGGGGGGTTCGGCAAACCTTCCCTTTTTCGAAAATCCGCATAAACCTCATTTTTTGAGCAAGAGTGGCTTTTCAAAAAACGGGGGGGGGGGGGGGGGGGGGTTCCAAAAAAAAAACT